GTGCCTAATGTCCTTACTAAACTTTGAAGATTCTGTGTGCCTGGTGATAAAAGAGTAGGGCTACATTTGAGAGGGAGCTCTGGTGGCATTGGGGTAAGAAACAGCACTGCAATCACAAAGGCTTGCAGTTTAAATCTACCAGCTGTTCTGTGGAAGAAGGATGGGCACTTTCCTCCCTGCGTGGTAGGACTTTTAGTCGAGGGATGAAGTTTCAGGTTTACACCTTCAGAAGAACACAGCAATTGATAGTCTTTAAAAAAAAATAAAAAGTTAAGCTCTGGTGACTCAGTGGTAAGGAGTTGTGCTGTGAACCCAAGGGCATGCAGTTCAAACCCATCATCTACCGTGCAGGAAAAAGTCAGGTATCTTCTCCTATGTAACTTACAGCCTCTGAAAAGCCACTGGAGAGTCAGCTATGAGTCAGTCCTGACTCAGTGGTACATAACAACAACAACAACAACAACAACAACAACAAATATGAACGCTACCCCCACTGCAAAACTAACTTGAGAAAGCTCAGCATAAACAGCTAAGTTAAAAAAAAAGAGTTAAAAGTATAAAATCAAATCTCACACAGATAAGCATACTCTTGAAAAGAGGAAGAACAAAAAATATTTTTTGAAGAAACACGCAGCAGGGACTTTGCTAATGTTTTTGAAAGAACAAACTAAACTTATCAGAATTGCTGACTACGGCAAAGTGAAAAACTATTTTTTGTTGTTGCTATAATAATTATAGAGATTGGCACAAGTCATGTGAAGGAAATGGTAAACGTATCTTTAACATACACAAGCAAAAATCCTCCCAAGAGAAGGCAATATTTATAAGACTTCATAAAGTTTTAACAGTAGATGAAATGGAAACCTAATGAGATGTATTATTTTGAGATCCTAAGAACACATCATTAGGATTTGGCAATAGGCATGTTTTTCCATTTTACAAAAGAAAATGAGTGCAATCGTTGTATGATCAAAAGAAAACAAATTAATGCTAAGACTGAAAATGTTAACACCCTTGAGTCAAGATAAAATAACTTCATTTTCCCCCAAATAAAATAAGTCATTATATTTCACTATATTCACTTTATAATGTAGAAAAGGTTACTAATGATATTATTGCATTTTCCCATTTTAATATTTTCTGAGTGTCACAGAGGTTAAGGTTAATAATACAAAAGATGGAAATGAATGTCTGTTTGGCATATAAGACATGTAAGATTGATTAGGAGATTATGTCCTCTGTGGGGAAGACTAATTAGCACATGACTGCTTCAGGGTTGTATTTATTCTTCGGCTATGGAGAGAGTTCTCTTAATTTCTAAATTTAACTGTGAAGATTGAATATGCTCACACGATGATTCTATTCCATCTCATTCCACTTTTAATGGGAAATCCACCATGTGAAAAGCCCTTTGGAAAAACACTTCCTCTTTGGAAGATGAGGTACATGCCACTGTAGTCAGACCATAGACCCCAGGAGCAAATAATCCCAAACAGACTCTGACACTGAGCGTATCACTGTTAATATCTGCTCTACTGAGAAATTGTATAGAAGGCACACCACTGCCTAGCACAGGCCAGTATGTTGTTGTTAAGTGTCAAGCAGTCGATTCTGATGCATAGTGGCCCCAAGTAGCAGAAGAGAACCATCCCCTAGTGATTTCTAGGCAGTAATCTTTATGGAGAGTGTTCCACGGTGCGTCTGTGACGCCCTGCTAGCTCCAAGGCTGTGTCTCTCTCCTGGGTGGGTCTCATGCACCAGGAGCTCCCCAGGAAAAAGACGGGCACTCTGCTGCTCGATGATTTACAGCCTCGGAAACCCAGTGAAGGGTCAGTTCTGAGTTGGTGCTGACTGAATGGCAGAGTGAACAAGTGATTCTTTGGGAGACATATTGCCAAGTATTTCTTCTAAAGAGTTTCTGGGTGATCCTGACCTCACCCTTTCACCTAGCAGCCAAGAGTTTACCCACCATGGCTCCCTCAGTGCCTATTAGCTCTTTTTATTTTTTGTAAGTGAATCAAGACCACTCCCCACATATAAAAGACTCCAATTATGTTGAGGGAAAAGACTCAATTATAAAAGGCCAAATATTTTTAAAGGCCTCTATTCCAAAAAACCCAAAGAAAGGTTTACACACAAAACTATTCCAATGTGGTAATCAGAGAGGCAGAGGGATGGAGAGGGGAGTTAAAGTTAATACTTGTTAAAATAGGGAAGGGAAAGGGAATATGGAATAAGTGGATGATCAGATATCCATTATATAATGGAATGTGTATGAATGATAATTGAAAAACTAATATGCTATGTAAATTTTCACTCAAATCATAATAAAAAAAAAAGTTTGGTTGAACCAAAGATTCTCTTACTGAAAGGTTTGATGTGAAAAATGAGAATTGCCTCAAGGTGCTAAAATTTATTTGTGAGGGAGCTCTGGTGGCCTAGTGGCAAGAAGCTGTGCTGCCATACCAAAGGCGTGTGGTTTGAATCCACCAGATGCTCTGCTGCAGAAGGAGTGGTAATCTGTGCAATCAGATCTGATTTGATGGTACACAACAAGAAAAAACACCGTATCTATCTATCTATCAGGGCAACCACGAGTTACCTCTGTACAGCAATGCACAGACCAGTGCTATAACACTTAGAAGAATATTTTACAAGAAAACAACCTCAGGCCTGGTTCAAATTGG